AGCTTAGTTTTGAACCTTCAGTTCTTGTCAATCTCACATCACCTCAAACTCAAACAAAATAGTATTTTTTTTTTGATATATTATTTGGGATTAAAATTAGGCTAGAAAGGCTATAAGAGATTGTTTTATTTTTAGTATTCTGCAGGTATTTTAATGTCAAATTTGATACCAAATATTTTGGATAGCAGGAAAAGCTCAAATTTTGACTAGAGCTTTAAATTCTATAGTAGATTCTTATAGCTAGAAGGCTTTGAAAATAAGATTGAAACTCTTTTTGATAATTATCATTCTTAAGCTTTTAGGCTAAAATAAAGAAGTCTGCTCACCCTTCCTGCTACTAATACCTCTCATGATTAATACCTAAATACTATTTACTATTCATATTGACTTAGTCACAAATAGTACTTAAATACTTTTCAAAGCTAAACTTTGTGAAAATTGATTAATACCTGGTATAACATCATGACTTTAATATCAACTTTTCCTATTTTTAAGCATTTTTCATAATTTTTATATAAAGTAAGGAAAAATATTAAGCTTTCCTTAATATTTATAAAGCTGAATTGAAGAAAGAAAGTAAATTTAATTTTATTTTTGATATTTATTTATTAAAGTTATGTAATTGTAATCTCTATATATAGTATTTCCTGTATATTGTATCTCCTTTAAAATAGTATCTAGTTCTTCATTTAGTATCTGTAGGTACTATTCAATTTGAAAATCATATTTTTGATTAAAACTCTAGATACTATATGTAGTGGTATATGGTAGTTTATATTTTTACTTTGTTAATTTGTGAATACTTCTTCTTTTAGTTTTTTTTCTTGTATTATATAACTAATTTAACTTTTTTTTCATTAAAGTTTAAATTAACAAATATATATTTTAATAATATAATAGTATATTAAGAAGAAAATGATATATTTTTTTAAATAAAAAATATCTTTTTTAGATATATTATTGATTAGAAGTTTCTATACTAATCCTAATAATGAATTATTTGGATTACTATTACTAAGAATTTTATTGAATATAACATTAATCTTAATTTAACTTTACTAGTATATTTAAAAATGTATTACAGTATTTTATGGATGCTTAATACTAGTTTTAGATTAATGTTAGCTTATTATTTCTGAAGTTAAAGTTTATTATGTGAATTTATATATAGATTATTCTTTATTTTTATCATTTTAGCCTTTAACTATTATTGTATATATTAATTTGATTATAATTTCTTTGAATATTTAAATTTATATTATTTTCTTTATTTTATTTAATACTAAAGTAATAAGATTTACTATAATATATATATTAATATTCTGCAAAATTAAATCAAATCAGATTTTATCTAAATTTGATCTGATTTAATTTAGATCTAAAAGTTTTATTAAAAAATAATTTTTCAGTAATCTGAAAAGTTATTTCTTTTCAATAAAAGAAACCTTTTTGACTTTAAAAGAGATTTGAAAGTCACTCCTTTTCAATAAAAGAAACCTTTTTAGTTCTAAAAAAAAAATTTAAAAATTCATTTTTTTCAATGAAAAAACAGATTTTCAGTTCTAAAAGAGTTTAAAAAATCGTTCTTTTTAATGAAAAATATAGATTTTTAGCTTTAAAAGAGTCCAAAAAGTCATTCTATTTTAATGAAAAAAACTTTTTAATTTTAAAAAAAGTCTAAAAATTCGGTTCTTTTCAATAAAAAAAACTTTTTCAGCTTTAAAAAAGATCTGAAAAATTGCACCTTTTCAATAAAAAAAATTTTTTAGCTCTAAAAGAGATCTGAAAAGTCACTTTTTTCAATGAAAAAAATCTTTTTAGTTTTAAAAGAGATTTAAAAATTTATTTCTTTTCAATGAAAGGAATTTTTCAGCTCTAAAAAAATTAAATTAGATTTAACAGATCAGATTTGAATCTGAATTTGAATTTAATGAATTAAATTTGAATCTGAATTCAAATCTGATAAATCAGATTTAATCTGAATCTGAATTTGAATTTGATCTGAATTTGACAAATCTAATTTGAATCTAATTTATCAGATTTGAATTAGATTTAGATCAATTTAAATCTTTGTGAAAGATTAATGTATATTATTATAGTTTATTAATTAGTTTTACATATTATTAGTTATTTTTTTACTATTTATAATATAAATACTTCTTTATTATAGATGTATTAATATTTGAATTAATTGTTATTATTATTGAATTGATATATTCAACTGCATTTTTCATCAAATTTTTATTGTTCTCTAATTTTTCCTATTCAATTATTGATATATTTTTTTTCTATTTTATATATATACACACTTTCTTGATATTATTATGTAAACTGATACTATTATTCTTCTAAGTTCTATTATAATTTAATATTATAAAAAAATATATCAAATCTTTTATTAAAAACTATATTACTATATATTAATTTTTAATAATATTTTGTTATTGCTTATTAAATACTTTTTTCTTCTAATATAAGTTTATATAATTCTAATCATTAAAAATTTGCTATATTATATATGAAGAAAATAAATCCTTAATGATCTATTTATTTAATCATATCTATTAATTTGTAACATTTTGCTATCTAAAATTACTATATTTTATGTAAGTTTTCTCTATATTTTATTATTTTATCTATTATTTGTTTGTCTTTGTTATTTATTATTTTCTATATATTTGTAATATTTATTTAATTATCTTTAATATTTATTTAACAAATATTACTTCTTCTTATAAAACTTTCTATTTTATTAATGAATTTAAGGTAAAATATTTCTATTATGTATGTTATGTAAACCTTTATTTTTATATAATATAATATACTTTTAACTTATTCTTATCTAAGATCAGCTTATCTATTTAGTAAAGTATAAGAAATACTTTTATCATATTTGAAATTCATTTAAGGAAATACTTTTTATTTTTAGCTATATTATTAATTAGTTATTACTTTATATACATTCAAGTATCTTATTTATAATAGCTTCTTCATAACATATAGAATTAATTATATAAATATACTTAATATTACATTTACATCATTTTTATCTTCTTTAGTATTTTAATATTTTATTTTTTTGAATCTGAGAAAATAAATAAGCTACTATTTTATTTTTGAATAATAAATTAAGAATAGAATTATTAATTATTATATTTTTATAGTATCAATTATTTTATTTTAACTATATTAATGCTTTGGCTACTCTATAATAATATATAATAAAATAGTGATTGCAAGGGATCCAAATGATTTTAAATAATTCAAATGACTAGTCATATGTTATTTAATTATTTCAATATTAAATGATAAATGATCTAGTTATTTAAAAATTACATTATGTGATCTTAATAATTATAACTAAAATAATTAATGTAATTTAATAATTTGAATGTTTTCATAAATATTTCACATGATATAAATTTGTAATTTTGATCAGTATATAGAATTTAGCCTGTATTACATTTAAATAACCAAATGACAAATGATCTCAAATGACTAGATCATTTAATGGTCATTCAAAGATTAATTCAAAATTATCAAATGACTTGATCATTTACCATCACTGCAATGAAATCTTTGAATAATATTAGATTATTTACTAATTATTTTTGTATTAAAGTATGTTTAGTAAAGATAGATGTTTTAAAAGACTATTTGTGAATATTGAGATATCTTGTAAAAAATTATAAGATTTTCTCTGTATCTATTTTATTCTTCTTTAAGTCTATATATGATCTTCCTTTTAAAAACCTAGGATATTAGCATTTCTTCAATATCTATAAGTCTTTAGAATTCTTCAGATGTATCTTTTAGATTTATGTTATTATTAGCTAAAATTTCTTTAGTAAAATTATTTATGTATAATATTAATATAAATCCAATATAATCATTATTGATGAATTATATATATTACATATAAAACAGGTATTGTATTTGATTTTATCTATTTTTTTTACAAAATTTTTTTAATATTTTTGTTCTTCTTTAACAATCATATTCTTGGTTACATTACTTTCCCTTTTATTCATTTCTTATTCATTATTTTTACTACTGCTTGCTATACTCGTTTATAAATACTCTTCTTATGTTTGTAATTATTTTTGCATAAATTACAGTTTATACTTTTCTCTGTAGTCTCTGTTGATTTTTTTCTGTTTCTGTAACCAATCACTTATGCGTCACATATTTCTTTTTCCTATTCCCTGCTTTTATTATTATTTGAATTCTCATTCACATATAAGATGTGCTTTACATTGTTCTATTATTTTGTTTTGTCATTTCTTTTACTTTCTAATTGTTTCTATATTAATACTTTGTTTGTTCATTTTATATTGCAGGTTTTGCTGTCAAAATTGAGGATATTAGATTTTGCCTGCTATTTGTCTGATATGAATTTGATGTTAGTATATTTAAAGATATTATTTTGATTTTTTTTTTCGAAATCTTTTATTCATTTATTTTAGGATTTGCATTCTAATGTTAGGAATGTAGCTGTATAATTAAACAAGAATAACCCGCATTTTTCACTTACATATGTAGAATCAATCATTTTAGCTCAATCGATCAAAGAACAATCAGTATAACAACAATAGTCCAGGATTTTGATAATTTTCATTATCGAGTGAATATTTGAGTAAATCAATTTATTTATACTTTATTATTATTTTATTTTTGTACATGTCGGATTTTTAGTTCTAGTGACATTTTTTTTCACTGCCGACCTTTTAATTACTTTATCACGTGAATTTAAAATGGCCTAAATTTATATTAACCGTTTAACCAATTGTTTATTTTTTTTTGGGACTTTGGTTTATTTGTTCGATCCATATGCACTGATAAGTATTAAAGGATGTTTTTCATTTTATAGATGGTTGCACAAAATCAATTCCAATAACTTGCCAAATATAGCAAATTGATAATGATAGTTCTCTCTTTTTAAAGGGAAGTTATTGACTTTTAATAAAAAAACTCACATCCTTTATTAATAAGAAGGAAACATGCAATCCGTAATTAATTCTACTCCAGAGGTTGTCGCTGGTGCTACAGAAGTTGCCATAGGTTTAAGTTCATTAGATACTACAAAAGCTACTCTTGTTGCTGTAGGAACCGTTGGAGAAGCCATTAAACCGTTTATACCATTAATTGCGGCTGTTACAACAATAATTGGAGAAGTTATTAAAATTTATGAAAATGTTGAATATAACAAAAAAATCTGTAATGCTTTGATGGATAGAGTTCAAATAGCTGATGGTGCTATTAAAATTTTAAATAGAAGGAAACAAGAAAATGAAAAAAATTTTCGTAATGAAGAATATTATAAAGCTTTTGTAAAATTTACTGATGTCATGACAAGAATTAAAGATTTTATTAGGGATGTCTCCCAACTACAGGGTTACAGAAAATACATACATTCCGGTTCTATTAAAGATAAGTTTAATAACTTAGTTAACGATTTTGAGATCGTTATGAAAGATTTGAATTTCACTATGACAATTGTCAATGAAGAACAGCGTAAAATTGACCAGCAAGCTCTTTCTGAAGATATAGCCGAAATGACCAGGGTAAGTTATTATATAACATTTGTAACAAAGCTTTACTTTTTTTTTTGCCTTTAAAAAAAAAAACTCAGATAATTTATTATTAATCTTTTTTTATTCTTTCTTTCTTTTTTTTTTAATATAGTTCTTGGAAAGGATTGAAGGTGGTATTACTACTGGTAATAACCAAATTAATACAGTTCTCCAAGAAGTCATATTAATTAAGAATCAAATAGATAGCATTCATGAATTTAAAAAAAGTAATCTACCGATACCTGAGTCTATTAAAGCAAACAAAATAGAACCAAATGAGCTTACTGAACCCCTTGGAGGGAAGGCATCTGATCGTCGTGGGAAAGAGGAACCTTATACTTTAAGGAAATGCTTAAAGCAGAGTATAGACGTCGCTTGTATTCCAACTACATTACAAGATGATAATTCCCAGAAAGCTCAAAGGGTTCAAGCTCAACTAACTATTTTAGGAAAACTTCGAGATTCTCCCAACATTTTGAAATTTTATGGACTCTCTTATGTCGATAATCGCCTGGTCAAGGTATTTGAATGGGCCGAACATGGAAATCTACGTGAAGTTTATAATGCATATGATATCTCTTGGACTGCAAAGGTAAAATTAAGATCTTTTAATTAATTTTTCTTTTTTTTAGTTTTAACATTTTAACATTATTCTTAAGGTGAATATTGCTCTTGATATTTGTCGTGGTATCACTTTTTTACATTCCTGTTCCATCCTTCATCACGATATCCGTTGTGCAAACATTATGATGACTGCGCGTTTGGAACCTAAAATTACAAATTTTGAATATGCACGTCTTACGACCGATAGTACCTCTAATCTTACTAATATAACTGAAATTGTGCATTGGCTTGCTCCCGAGAAATTGAGAAACGCTAATAATCAGCTATATAACATGAAATGCGAAGTTTTCAGGTGAGAATATTACAATTATTTATTTCTAATTGTTATTAGGTTAAAATTATTAACCTTTTTTTTAAAAAAAATAAAAGTTTTGGCATGCTTCTTTGGGAATTGGCATTTGAAAAGATTCCCTACGAACGTTGGGACATGGCTAAAATAAAAGAATATGTTTTGTCTAACAAACGAGAAAAGATTACATTTGGTAAAGAAAATCCTGATATTCAAAACCTCCAAAAAAGTTATGCGAAAATTATCGTTTCCGGTAAGAAATCAATATATAATATATATATATAAATATATTTTGTAAAATGAATCTATAACTATAAATTTTTTGACCTCAATTAGCTTGGCAAGATGATCCACAAATTCGAGCTTCATTACAGCAGATTTTCTTGGAATTACATGACTTGTATACAAAATATTGCGTTGCGGGGTACAATGCTTCGCCTGCTCTTAAACCCGATAAAACCTTAGATTTGGATGGAACTAGAGCGATTTCGGTTAGTGATGTAGGAGGGTTAGATTTGCCAGATCTGGATATGGAATTCTCTATTGATGCAATACAAGAAATCATACCACTTGAAGATGGTATTGCAGCTCACAAGAGAAAAGAAACGAATGTAGCATGGGAATGTTTTAATGCACACGCAGATTTAGGTAATACAACAGCCAAGTATTGGAAAGGATATTATTTATGGGAAGGTTATGCTGGTCAAAAAGATCGGGTTGAAGCATCAAAATTATTTAAAGCAGCAGCTGATGACGGATTGGCAGATGCGCAGTTACGATATGCATTTAGTTTAGTTGGAAATCCTGGAACTAAATTTAATAAGAACGTATTTATTGAATATCTTACGAAAGCTGCAGATAATAATAATAGTACGGCTCAATTTAATCTAGGCGATTTATATATTCATGGTAAATTGGGTGTATCCAAAGATGAACTATTGGGCAAGAAATATTTAAAGCTAGCTGCACTATCTAGTCAGCCTAAAGCTATTGAAATCTTACAAAAACTGAACATTAATATTTATAATGATGATTAGATAAGTCAAAAATTTTCGTTTATTTTAACTTAATTTATAGAAAAAATTTTTTTTTGTATTTTTTAATATTTATTTATATAATGTGTATATGATCAGTTTATGTAATATATTCATTATAAACAAATTATTTTAATATTTAAATATAAATAAAAAAAATTTTTTTTTAATCAAAGATTTGGCAATTTAATATTAATATATTACAATGATACAGATCTTAGCAAAATAATAGTGATTAGTTTTTTTTAATATCATAATTGAAAATGATGATAAATTATGAAAATAAATTTTTTTTATATTTTAAAAAAGACAAAAGATTTATATATTTTATTATTTAATTAATATTTGATAAATCTTTCTTTTGTGTCAATATACACTATTTTTAAAAAGCATCTGCCCAGTTAAAATAAAATTTTGTTTATAATATTTAGTATTTCAATTTTATATGATATGCTTTTTATAAGTTTAATATAAGTTTCAAATAAAATTTTTACTATTTTTCTTATAATATTTCCTAAGTTTATAAAGATTTTTTAGATTTATAAAATGTTTACTACACCTTCATTTAAGTTCATTCTATAAATTCTAAGGTTTAGAAATTAAAAAAACTAATTGAAAGTATTTTAACCTATTTTTAATTTTTAAAAATATAAAATCAGAAAAGTTTATGTTTTTGTTTATTAAAACTGATCTATGTATTATTATATAAATATAAATATAAACATAAATGTCAAAATCAGAAATTTATTTAAAAGATTTTAATTAATATATTTGAATTTAAGAAATTTAAAAAGAACTTAATTAAAAACTTTTTTAAAGATAATATATGTTTTAATTTTATCTTATATATTATTTATATTTAAAGCTCTGAACGGTTCAGATTAATCCAAAAATTTTCAGTTTAGATCAACTTCAGTTCAGTTTCAGATTGCAAAAAATTCAATCTAAAAATTTTCAGTTCAGTTCAGATTTTTTTCAGTTTAGATTAGATTTATAATCTGAAAAAAATCTGAACTGAACTGAAAATTTTAGATTAATCTGAAATTTTAGATCATTTAGAACGATTAAATTTATCATTCTAAAAGAATGATAAAAGAATCATTTATTTAGAACGATTGAAGTTATTGTTCTAAACAAATAATAAGAAAATCGTTCAATTAGAATGATTAAATTATCGTTTCAAAAAAACAATAAAAGAATCGTTCATTTGGAACAATTGAAATTATCATTTCAAATGAACGATAAGAAAATCGTTTGATTGAAATGATTAAATTATCATTTTAAAAGAACAATAAAAGGATCGTTCAATTGAAATAATTAAATTATCATTCTTTTAGAATGATAAAAGGATTGTTTGATTAAAATAATGAAATTATCATTCTAAATGAACGATAAAAGAATCGTTCAATTGGAATGATTAAATTATTATTCCAAAAGAATGATAAAAGAATCATTCATTTGGAATAATTGAAGTTATTATTTTAAACGAACGATAAGAAAATTATTTGATTGGAACGATTAAATTATTGTTCTAAAAGAACAATAAAAGAATCATTTATTTGGAACAATTGAAGTTATTATTCCAAATGAATAATAAGAAAATCGTTCAATTGAAATGATTAAATTATCATTCCAAAAGAATGATAAAAGGATCGTTCAATTAGAATAATGAAATTATCATTCTAAATGAATAATAAAAGAATTGTTCAATTGGAACGATTAAATTATTATTCTAAAAGAACGATAAAAGAATCATTCATTTAGAATAATTGAAGTTATCATTTCAAACGAACAATAAGAAAATCATTTAATTAGAATAATTAAATTATCATTTCAAAAGAACGATAAAAGAATCATTCATTTAGAATGATTGAAATGATTAAATTATCATTCCAAAAGAACGATAAAAGGATCATTCAATTAGAATAATGAAATTATCATTCCAAACGAAAAAGAATTGTTCAATTGAAATGATTAAATTATTATTCAATTAGAATAATTAAAGTTATCATTCCAAATGAATGATAAGAAAATCATTTGTTTGGAATGATTAAATTATTATTCCAAAAGAACAATAAAAGAATCGTTTATTTGAAATGATTGAAATTATCGTTCTAAATAAATGATAAGAAATTGTTCGATTAGAATGATTAAATTATCATTCTAAACAAATGATAAGAAGATCATTTGATTGGAAAGATTAAATTATTGTTCTAAAAGAATAAAAAAAATTGTTTATTTGGAATGATTAAAGTTATCGTTTCAAATAAATAATAAGAAATCATTTAATTAGAATGATTAAATTATTGTTCTAAAAAAATGATAAAAGGATCGTTCAATTAGAACGATAAAATTATCATTTCAAACGAACAATAAAAGAATTGTTCGATTAGAATGATTAAATTATCATTCTAAACGAATGATAAGAAAATCGTTCCAAACAAATTGAAATTTCAGATTAATTCAAAATTTTTAGTTCAGTTCAGATTTTTACCAGTTTATGGTTCATTTCAGTTTCAGATTGGCATTTTTAAGATTTATAATCTGAACTAAACTGAACTGAAATTTTCAGTTCAGTTTCAGATTAGCCTATAATCTAAACTGAACTGAATTGTTTGTAGCATTATTTATATTGATAATTAGCATATATTTAATTTATTTTTAATTTGATAGTTTAAAATAATGTATAAAATTTAAACTAAAAGTCATGTATATAAATTTACTAAAAATAGAAAATTAATGCATATATTATATAGTATTTCCATTTTTATAAATAATTTAAGGGATTGGCATCCCTAGTTCAGTTGGCAACAACTGAGCTCCTATTGTGGGTTACACTGCAATAGCCACAGGTTCAAGTCTCAG